CTGCAAAATGAAAGCTTGATGAATAAAAAAGGATTTCTTGGCCACAATATTAAAGGGACCCTCTACTTCTCAGCAAGTTGAACTTATATTATGTAGAATTTAACGCTGATTTCGAAAATCGTATTAAAAATTTTGAGAAATAATTAGTAAGCTAATTAAAGCGCTTTTAATCTCATAAAAAAATTGGTTTGGGCACCCTGTGCTGTCGTGACGTCATATCGTGACGTCAGGTCGTGGTCGTGGTTTGTTTTGACAAGAAGGAAACCTGTAATCGTGTCCTTTTCCCGGGCATTTTATTTCTTTAATTATGGCTATGCATTTTCAATTCGAGCTCGAATATGACGACAATGAGCTAACAGATCAATAAGACAGCTTTGATCACGAAAAAGAATCTAGTGAAGAATATAATATGGAAGAAAATTCGGAAGAAGTATCGTGCTGAGAAGTAGAGGGTCCCTTTAATTAATCTTCTTAGCCCCCCAAGGGCCAAAAACGCTCCGCCGCCCCTGTATATCTACTGTATATCCCCTGTATATCCCCTGTATATCCCCTGTATATCCCCTGTATATCCCCTGTATATCCCCTGTATATCCCCTGTATATCCCCTGTATATCCCCTGTTATTTTGAATGATATCGGGACCTATCTTGGTTTCCATAATATCAAAATGATAATAGGGAAGATATTGTCGTCATTTTCATACCGAATTGTAGAAATACTTTTTAATGGCAAATTATCGAAAAGCTAATGTACTCAAAATGGTATTACAACTTAGACGGGGATGATGTAACCAATTGCTTGACCAGGGTAGGGCAATATCAATCAATTAGTTTCCAATTCACTAGGTTTTCTTTGTTATTCATAGGGTTGWATATATGATAGAARCTTAAAGCCGGGGAGGGATTTGATATTCAGCATAGCTTGTGTACATCCGTTTCTCACCCCTCCAAAAAAATCGGGGAGAGAACGTCTGTGATTTGCCGTTGCTAATCGTGTTCTGACATAAATTTGCATATATAATGTGACATGCACGTTAGAGCTTGAGCAGGCACRTTAAAAGGTCAAGTAAACAATGGACCGTTCTGYAACATAATTCGAACATAATGCCAAGAGATTTTGTTTTTGTTTCAGCCATTCAATTCTAACTTCGACCGTTGCTCTGTCTATCTTCGGTAGTAGGTGTCTCGTCAGAATGTGGTTTTCCTGTAATTTGCGTCATACAATRACTTCCATCAACCGTACTAATATCTTCTTGTGAAGATTACGTTGTCCTCGGCAGTTTTGAAGCTGTAACTCTGGCGCTTTCGCAGGCTATTATGAGATGTAGAATACAAACTACTAAGCCCCCTTCTCTTCTTTAGCACTTCTGACAAATGCAACAAGTTTTGTTCGTGAAGATTGGCGGCGAATTCTAATGACATTATAATTCCACATCAATTTTAAATTTTTATTTAATATTGCTCGAATCCGGTGGAAATTATGTAATATACGCAAACTTCATGTGGAAATGGGTAAAAATATTCAAAGTAACAGTGTAATGTAATCAATGCTTATTACCAAGTTCTGTTCGTGCTCTTCCTGGTCTTCCGTATATAATAATGCCATCAGATATGTTTCTGCATCCGGGCAAGTCTGAAAGATTTCTGAAGCAGCATTAATGGCAACCATCATTCGCTTGTGACGTCTTAGTCCAACGTGCGTGCTAAACATCGCTATGTGACAGCTGTCAGGATGGAGCTCAAAGTTRGTGGAATCCTGATGATAGCTTGAGTTTGCTTAAAACGGTCGCTTCGTTAAGGCCGGCAATTAGATCATCAATGATGCGCATCTTCTGCTTTTCTTGCTCACTGCCTTGTTGGACTCCCTCATGTCGACGCACAGACGCACTTCTCCAGACTTTTTTGGGACGRTTACAACAGGTCTCACCGATGGTGTGGGACCACTAGCTTCTTCTATGATGTCTAGGGTTTCAAGTCTTTGTAGCTCTTTTTYTATGTGATTTTGGGTGTGGTTTCTTGACATAATTCTATTTGTTATTATCATTAACATATCATAGTCTGAAACCAGTCTAAGAGAGAATCATGTGGCTTGTGATGCCTTACACCACAAAACTTAAAACCTTACCATATTCGAAACTTAATAAATCGTCCATTGGCGAAAAGTCTGCTAATTTCCACCTTTTTCACCAGAACTTTGCATAAATTATCTGCTAATTTCAAACTTTTTCCCCGGACCTTTGCATAAATTATATAATTCCTACCATTTCCATGCCGAAATTTCCACCAGTTTTAGGTCCGTGTTCCGCGCTAACACTTCTATCACCTATTGCATCCTTGCTAGTAGTGTTTTAGCTGATTTATTGTTTAACTTCGCATAACTGATATATTTGATATATTTTAACTGATATATAACTTATTGAAATAGRCGCACGAAAGCTTACAATTGATATGGAATGGCGAAACTGGTCAAATGTAAATTCGGGATTAAAGTGGGGCATCCTCAGTGACAAGCAATTTATCTTAGTTGAAGCTATTCAGACTGACCAAGGTATGTGATGATGGATTGTGTAATAACTATATTGTCACAATAACATTTTGTACACCATTTTCGAGTTCAAGCAGTTTCTCGTACGCAAAGAATTTACCAAACACAAATTCAGACAGCACGAGAAGATGTTGTAAGCACAATAGCGCTAACGATTTACATTTTCCCCAAGTTGAGGCTAACGCTGTATTCCCAGCAGGCTTAAACCTTATGTCTCATGAGAATACAGGTTTTTCTCAATTCGGAGAAGATGCAAATTTCAAGGCTATTATAAGAAATTTCTCGTGCTTTCGTTATTTTACTGTAGGATATTTGCGMAATTACAATCTGTTGTAAAATAATGCAGCGGTTGTTCGCTTTGAATTTGAAAATGGTGTATTATACACAAAAGGTTTTATTTGTTTTTTGTTTTACTTTCAACCGTCTGTGTTAAACGGGAAGTTCCGGTATAATGGGTCGCTGACCTGACCAAATCCAGCCCACTAGCTCATAAGACTCGAGTAGTGAGGATCTCACCCGAATTTGACATTTGAAAAAGTGAATAAATTTCCGCTTTTACAACAACTACTTTGCTATAAAGTTTGACAAGAATTACTAATTGCTATGTTTAAAAGTCTGTTGATGTTGAAAAGGTAGACAATACAAGAAAAATAGCTCATCATATACAAGATACAGCTCATCATATACAAGCTACAGCTCATCATATACAAGAGAAAAAATGTCATTTTTGGCCTGCTGTCACTAAGAGGACTCAAAACTCAAAACACTTCGCAATTTGTTAATGAGCTTCGAATTATTTTCATTTAGACAAACATCTTAAAGGTTTACAGCGTGGTGTTGGGCTGGTTTTAAATGGAACAGTACTTTTTAATGTTCCAACAAAACCAAAYATCGAGTCATTTACAATGTGTTTTTGGATATCTTCGAATACAACTACGTCAAAATTGGTGAASATTACCATTAAAACCAATATGGAGATGTCATTGGATGTTTTTATTTGTCGGTTAGTATTCTATTAACATATCATATTATAACAATGTTCGATTTCATATCATTTAGAATGTAAACACAAGTAATGAAGACATATTGATTCAGTTATTACACATCGCCATTTATAATCAAAAAGTAATAAAATAGCATAAAAATCATCGAATTAACAATTAGACTTTAAACATGTCCTCAGCAGTATAGTAGATAAACATATAGTATAGTATATAAACAGCAGTATAGGTAGATAAACATGGGCAAAGCAAACACATAAATAAACTAATCGAATAGTCTTCTTCACGGTTCCCTGCGGCATCTTGGAAGGWATAGCTGTGCGTTTGCATCGAAGCGAGACGACCGTTGAGCGTGCAATGATAGAAATCTTCTTTCACACCTACAGACAATTATTCACAGATATCTACCTGCAAGGTCAACGGTTGTCTCGCTTCAATGTAAAGGCACGGCTACCTTTCAAGATGGCTCAGGGATCCGCGAAAAAGATTATTAAGAAAAAAAAACATATGAAAGGAAATTATATATAGTATATTACGATCCCTTTTAATACTGACAGGTCTGTTTGGAGACACATATGTGTATCGTTCCAATATGGTGTATACTTGATTTATGTCGATGGAGTAGTGAACAAGACGGWGTATACTGGAAATGAACTTTGGAAACTTAACGGTAGGAATGGTGTGACGTTAAGGCCACCGGTSCCTCCACTGCACAAYAACACCAAATCCACCACACCCTTGTCTTCTTTGGAATTACTTTATTACTACTAGTTACTAGATATAAATACTAAATGTAAATTTTAAATGAAAATGTCAATACAAAATATTACAAGATGCTAAATTTAAATGCTACTAAGTACTGGGTAAAATTTTTCAAAAATTTCGAAAGAATAAATTTGACAAGTGTTTAGCAAAGAAATGTATGGTGTCCAAAAAAGCGTCCAGGCAAACATACATTCAGTCTTTGTACAGATAGAAATTTTTGAAAAATTATATTTCCGTTTTTAATGACTTTAAACTTGCTTAAACTTTTCAACTTAAGCTAACTTATATGTGCTTTACCTTTATCTGTAGATTGCATCATTTTTAAAGAAATCAGTCCCATTCCCTTGCTTGTTTTGTTATCGGCCAATACCTAGGGACCTAGGGATTAAAATTGAGTGTATAGTTCCAAATGATGAGAAAACACAGTTTATTATCACTCGCTAAATAAGCGTTGTATTTTATTTTTCTTTGATCCTCTTTAGGTGCAGACATAAAACTTTCCATCACTTCACATGAACTCATAAATATTAAGCTAACAAGTCTTAACGCGTGGGACAAGTTTCTCGACGAAGACACTATTCTATATATGTCTTACAGTTGTAAAAGTCACAAGGGAACTATGGTTCTCTGGGAGGAATTCGTTAAGAATATTTCCATGGTTACCAGTTCCAATTCTTCAGTTGTTCACTATAACAGAACATCTTGCGAAGGAAGAAAAGGTAAATTGCAGTAAATAAGCAGAATTTGTTAACACTTATCTCTGGTCCAATAGTTAACCATCAAGCGCAGTCTCCGTGTTTGACCGCCAATTATCGTCGATAATACATGCACAAGTACTTTCGGAGAACAATGCGTCCGCGCCATCTTGAAAAGTCATTGAAAAGTGATACTGGAATCACTATGTTGTGCCTCAGAACACATTTCGTAGTTGCTAAGTCAACTAATATATCATTATATCGTATATAATGACTTGAAATTAGCTGAGAAGTTTTTAAATCCTTTAGAAGTTATAATTTAGTGATTCGAAAATTGGACGCATTGTTCTCCTAAAGTACTGATGCATGTATGTACTCGTGATTCAAAACCTTTCCCATCTTCTCCCTTAGTCTAATCAATAATTATCGGCTATACAATTGTTTTTCATTTCCTCTTCATTAGCACAACTGTCAATAGTGTTTTTTATCTTGTTTTTTTTTATTTGATTCTTATTACTTTTATTTATTTAGTTTTTTTTTCTTTGTATTGTCTTTTTCCACCTGGTCTGTTGACTTTCTTTTCGACATTTTCTGCTTCGATAACTGTTTTGGTGACTACGAGCTTTTATTGTTTGCTGTTCCAGGAAACGTTCTTAGCGTAGTATCTAACGCCAGTACAGCGTTGTCAGCAAGGGCGATATATCTAAGTCCACCTTACCCTTTACTACCAAGATTAGTTAAATCACCTGCAAGGTGTTTAAGATTTCAATATCGGTTGTGGGGCCCTGGAGCGAAAGTGCTGAAGCTATATCAAGTCTTGGATAACAAAACATTTCCATGGAGACCAATCTGGATTGAAAAGACCAGTTCRAGTAGTTGGAAGGAAGGACGGGTCACTCTTTCAGCTGTGACAGAATATCAGGTACCTTTTTAAAAGTGTCCTCTTTTCCTTATTCCGTCTCTATAAGCTTTGAACATATTCTGCTAGCTTAGGGGTTTTCATCAGCTTATAAATTATACAAAATCCTTTTCCATTGATAGTGCATTGTTGAATTTCTAGAAAAATGTCGAGACAGGTTTACAATTTTTAAATAAAAAGCTATTCCAAGTTTATGTGTTTATATGAGCATCGTGAACAGTACGCCTCACGCCAGTCTTTAAAGAGTGATCTAACACCAAAATAGGTTGATGAAAATCAGCAAATAAACTCCTTGTCGACAAAGAGTTGATAATCGTCTAATAACTGTTTTTATCTTAATATTTTAGATAGCGATCGTAGGCGAAATGTCGAATGCACCAGGACTAATATCGATAGGAGCTTTATATACCACTGAAGAGTATTGTCCAGTGTTACCTGCTTCAGCAGACAAAGGTAGATTATTTTCTGAATTATTACGATATGCTGTAACACTATCATCGTTGTTAATTATCACGTGATTTTATTTCACAGCGTGCAATGAAATATTTACAAACTTGATTGGTAACATCATGTCTCCCTATTATCCAAGTTACTATAGCAACAACGCTAGCTGCAACTCGACCATCATAGCGAAGCGAGGCTACGTTATTCGTCTAGATGTCGTCGAGTTTGAGCTGGAAATGAGCACACGATGTGAGAATGACTCTGTTGATGTGTATGATGGTGGTAAACGAACTGGTCGATATTGTGGTATAAGGTGAGGCCATAYTCACGATATTATTACTAATTAGTGAGAAAATATATTTAACAAATTTCGCACTGTTTTTGTTGTATGTCCTCTTATTGATGGCACTCTTGACGTCATAAAATGCTCAAAACTCAAGTGGAGCTTCTTTTCGATTAAGCAATTGTTAAACCCCTTACAGCGTAGAATCTGTAAATTTAGAAAAAATATTTTTTTGCTTAAAAAATCGAGGGGGTATCTTAGAAATGCGAGAACTGACTGACAGCTCTAATAGGTAAGCACTTAGCAATTCAGAGTATGTATTGTTTATATCTAATACGATATCAAGTGGAAGCAGTTATAGAATTACAAAACAAATAATAAACTTTTGCAAGGTCGGATCCAGGGGGTGATTATGGTTCCTAGACCGGACTTTTTAGGCTCAACAATGTATGAAATAGACACTATGCTATTAATGAATGAGATATAAAATTAAATCTGCAAGGAAAGACAATTCGAGCAGTGTTTATAAATACAATTTACGTAGTAGTTACTTCGAAAGGTCATGAGTTAGGTGAGGTTTAGGTTGGAACGCCTCTGGATCCGCAACACGCGTTTAATAGTTAGGAATAGTCTCTTTACAAATTTGACAAAATAGCCGGGTCAAGTGACTAAATTTATGATTTTGTGTCTTTTTTTTCAGGTACCCACCCATCATTCAGTCGACTACAAACCAACTTTCGGTGGTGTTCCGATCAAATGCAAAGATAACTCGCACTGGATTCATGGCACGTTACCGGATTCTGAGAGGTAATAATGATAATCAGTGTGAACTAGGGTGATCACTGAGTTGTATAATTACAATAAAAAAACTCGGTTTTAGTCCCATCAGTTGAACAGTTCAAACATTKCCTTCGACTTCAATGATTCAGCTAGTTCATAGCTTGCTGTGTCTGTTATACAATGTAGAGTGCTATAAGCTTAAGAATGTTTGACTGACTTCTTGCGACTTTTTTTGCACTCGTCTTATTCGGGCGTCTTGTTCGTCTAGTTTCTGATAATCTAGTCACCATCAAATTACCCGATTACTAGCGAGGTAAAAAACTTCTAGTTATGTACTTCTGTTAAATTCCATTATATATTTGAGTTTACATAGGATGGGTACATAACATAGACTCCTTAATAGACACATTCTTACCAATAGCCACAATATCCCACAGTTAACGTGTATGTATTAAAGTTACATAACATATTTATAAAAATCACAGTTTATGAATTGGATGTATTCAATTTTCTTGTGTGGGGTTATTAAAGTAATAATGAATCGAAATGGTTTATTCGTCGCTATATTTACTTTTTCAGATAATGATACAAAGCAAGGATGCTTACAAGGTAAACCTTGATGTGGAATTTTCAAGGAAGGTTTAATATGATTCAGCAGTCAATTGATTAGGAGTGAAAGGGAATCTCAGAAAGAAAGTCCGTTTGCTCTCAAACGTGCTCATTATAAGTTTTATCGGATGCCAAAGAACAGAAAACAAGCGGTTCTCCATCTTGAAAAATAATATTTTTGTTTTAGACTGCCCAGCTGATTGTCAATGTCGAAAGCTGTCTGATGGAAGAATAGTTGTCTCATCGCGAAGTATCAATGCAGTTCCACGTCGACTYCCTCGTGAMACATCAGTCATGTAWACACATCATTTGATGAACCAGCAATTACAATATACTGATACGTATCCTTACATACCTTAACATTAGTTTACTKAATTACTTGCTTTCATGGCGATATACAGTATATATTTATAATTCGCATTTAAAAACCTTGTTTTTAAACAAAAATCGATGATTTTAACTCAGCAGCGGTTTTCGTCGATACACATTTACAGCTWTCTCACTGATGTCAGCTCCAAAATTTCATCATATCAGCTTTTTCAGCGTCCACTGATTTTTAATCACTGTATTATTATATTAAGACCAAGAATTTAAACTATATACTTCTATTATCATCATCATCACCASCATCACCATAGTCYATAATCTTTGTTTGAATTGTCGTTAGAAATGTGTTAATGGTGTGCCATTTTCTTTCAGCTTGTTTTCTGGRAATAAAATCTTCMACATAAAGAGAAATACATTTGAGGATCTGCAACAGTTATCTTTAATGTATGCTGTGGTTTTTTGTTTTGTTCTTTTTTTCTCTCTATTTATAGATAATATTCGTATATCGATCGTTCATTGCAAGTATTCCTCCAATTTCCTTTTTCTTTTCACAAATAATGCAATAGAAAAAAAAAACAAGCAATCAAAAAGCCTAATTCCTGATTGTAGCAACGTGTAAGGTGATAAACAGAGGGGCAGAGGGTACTCCATTATATTTAGCATACAGAMGTTTGCCAAATGCATCCTKAATAGGGTATGCCATTGACCTTCGCTYGGCTTRAATACAGGAGTTTTTACACGCCTATTATGCGTTTGAATGTCAACATTAATAATGAAAAGTAATTGAAATTYAATTTAGAAAGGGGAATTGAATTATACATACTATATCCTTCGTTGTGTACAACAATCAAATCAGATTTTTAAAACCACAAAGCTACAAATGGAGAGTGTAAAACATGTGTATACACATAAAAACAACCTTGCAWTCATTTCTAAAGATGCTTTGACAATTACTTCATTCACAACAAAAATTATTTTGTACATGGCACGATACTGGGCACCAGAACTAAAAAAATACCAAAAATTTAACCCTGAATATTATTGCAAACACGATATTCGCCAAATATTCGCAAAGTATTAKTTAAGCATACATTATCTAAGGAGGAGCCGACGGGGTCCTGGGAGAAAAAAATCTGTTCTTAATTATGTCCCAGCCAGCTGAAAATCACAACTGGTTTCCTGAAATTCAGGAAAAAAGGTCTCTCCATGCAAGAAATAACTTAGTTTCAATAATTTTTGACAGGGAAAAAAAACCTAACTACAAAAAGGCGTTTTGACATTATATAATCCTTTTTTGACCTTAAAAACGTTTTTCAGAAACAAAATTATTTTAAGAAGGAAGGGCACCACATTTGCTTGTGAGATTGTCAACAACGCTTGCTCAAAATCCCTTTCCCAGGAAATATTGTACAAGAACAGTTATTTAGAAGAACAGACCCCGTCGGCTCCTCCTGTTATCTAGATGTCTTAAGTCCAAATTTGGAGAAATTTCATCGAAACTTARTCTTATGAGGTCTAATTTTCAAGATTTATTCAATTCACTGCACAGTAAAATTYGTGAATTTTAGTGGAAAGATTTCAACTCACCTTGCTTAAATTGCGGCCTTCTAGAACCAAAAGATGTCTAGATTCCCTCTAAACATGCTTTCGGGTAGCGATTGCATTCGGTGTACTTTCGGAATTCTTCGTTTTCGGAAACTTCATTTTCGTAGCTCGAAATTTGACTTTAATTTTTTTTTGGCACGATACTAGGCAACAAACTGTATTTAATATTATTCTAGACAACCAATTTATTCAAACTGAATTGCAGTCTCAATGACAATTTATTGATTTATTTATTTGTGTAAAATAAATATTAATAAGATAATTTTTAAATATTAAGTCTTAAAGGACTAACGTCATTTGAGCACATTATTTGTAACGTTGGCATCTTTTTATTTCCCCTTTGATATGATTTTCTGTCTTTTAGAGATTTGAGTTACAACAGGATTATTAGCATGGATAGAAAGGCATTTGTTTCACTACCATCACTTCATACATTGTAAGTTAGCAAAAACTACCCTTATCCGTTGAAATGGATTCTCATACTAATAAGCAAAAACACCTTCAGGCGACTCAACATGAATTTCATCAAGAACATTGAAAAGGAAACCTGGATTAATATTGTAGCATTGCAAATCTTGTAAGTACATTGATTCAATCTTGGGCACTTAGAAAATCGAATCACAGTTATCTTAACATGTTTAGATTAAGGAAAGTCATTTTGTTCTCAGCTACTTCAATCGAAGAAGGCAAAATCGATTGTTTTCGATGATTTTGTACAATAATTCACTTAAAATGGGTACAAGGATACTATATGAAAATATCGTATCAAATTGAATTTTTGTCATTCGACTTGGACACTTGACTGCCACTGGGTAACACAATTCCAGCGTAAATACCTCGGGAACTAAAAAACTTTTGAAACCAAACCTTGGCAATGTCTTTCCATAATACCTGTCGTATATATAAATGGCGTTTATTTTTGTTCTAAATTTCATATATCGATCTTTTGTTGACGTCAAGCACTACAATACATTTGATCAAGGAATGACATGTAGCAGCTCCATCTTTGGCCAATCACTACCATATGCACTTCCATATGCAATGGAAAAACAAGGAATTGTTTCCGATCCTGGCAGAGCACGCGTTATTGTGATGGCAAACCACTGTAGAGCAACTCCTGATGTGTTCATATTGTTAATCACATCTGTATTTGGTTTCCTTTAGGGACGTTGGCGACAATTTGATATCTTCTATTGCAAGCGGGACATTTTCGCATTTTCAAGAACTAAAAGCTTTGTAAGTCTTGGTTATCAGTTAAGTAACAATGAGCTTAAGAACTAGGGAACTGTCTATTGTTCTGCGGCAATTGCAACTTCCCCACATACAAATATCTTTGTTTTCACAATGATTATATATCAACCAATGGGTAACACATTTTTAAAATAAAATAGCCTTAGTTAGATTGAGTACTTTACCATGTTTAAGTTCATTTTACAGTGATATAGTGGTAAACGCGCAACTGTTTTATCTGTAGCAACCTTGGGGAACTGCCATGCTGGCACAGGGTACATGAAAATCAACCAATCGCGTTCAAATAGATAGTAGGACGTGAGAGACAATCAGAATCGAGAATGAAAATGCTATGTGCTAGACTATAATCATATACTCATTTTATTGGTTTTTGTATTTGAATGACATTTTTGTTTTAATTGCAGAAGTCTTCGCAGCAATTTAATCACGTTTCTCCACGATGACACTTTTCAGAACAATTCAAAATTAACCTCTCTGTAAGTCATATAAATACCATCATACGGAATGATTTACACATGAAAACGAACTAGAAGGCATTCACTCGATCGCTTCGAAATGAAGAAAAATAACTAAAAACCTCGCTTTGAAATGCCACTTCATGTTAAATATGTGAAGTGTACGCACAAAAATTTTGAGGCTACAACTTATTAAAAGGGTGAGGTGACGTAAGTGTGTCACACAGTGTTTCCTACATTTGTCACGAACCTTTTGAAATCTTCTTTTGTTCCGTTATCGTTTTATTGTTTGGAATAGCATCTATTGTCCATAATTTTAAGCCAATCACGAGATTCGCCATCGAACGGTTGGTGACAACCCTTTTTAAAATAGCGGAGCTCCTGCGCGGGCAGAATTTTCAGGTAAATTCGGTATATTTGCGTGATTGAGAAAAATGTGAATTATTAGTGTTACATAAACAAATTGCTCACAGTTTCGAGTTATAAGCTAGTCCTCTTGACAAACTCTTGACGTCGTAAATGTATAAAACTCAGTGCAAAGTGTTGAAAATGTTGTGTGTGTTAATAAGAAAACATACCGCAAACAGTGTGTATGAGAGAATTATTAGAGCCTATAAACATTGCGAGGCTGCAACTACCGTCATCCTTTGCGTAAAATGACATCGTACCACATTCTGACACAATTGTAGCAGTGCCATTTTTTTCCAGTTCAAAGCAATTGTCTGCGTTTTTAGCTGAAACCAGTCTCATGCTCAAAGAACTCTGTGTGTCCAACCAAAATACCAACCCAACCAAACCAAACCAAGCAAAACAAGAGAGTTAGTTGCATACTGCAATAGCGGTTGCTCTCTCTGAACGGGAAGGAGAATTTACAATCATAATGTGCATCTTAGAAAAGATACATTTTTATCATTTTGCAGTTATCTACATGGTAATGAAATCCGAAAAATACCCGATGGTCTTTTCCGTAGCCAGAGGCAGCTGAGAGTGTTGTAAGTTAAGTTTATTATATCGATACAATTCTTTTTCCTTTTTCATTTGGCCAGTGCGTGACATGCTTGGTCGCCCTGCAGGGTACCTAGAAATAAGAAAATATTATACGGAATGTTTACTTTTCCTCGTTCAACATCGCAGAAAGACATGAGAAAAGATATAAGATGACGACTTTTCACAATCTGTGCTCATTCCCCACAATACGTGCTATCTACTATAAACTAATTCTATTTTCTTTATCTTTTTGTTTTGAGGTATCTACATAACAATAGGCTTAAGAAGTTCAGCAAATCATCATTTCGAGGACTGACCATGCTTGAGAAGATGTAAGCAGTTGTGTCGAATGTTTGACGTTTACTTTGCAAAAAATGATTATGTTTGCTAAATGAAAATTTTGTTGCACTAAATATATATTTTTCAGGTTACTCAACAACAATAATATTAAAGAGACAGAAATATCACGTGACGTCTTTTCAGAGTTGGAAAACCTTAAATACCTGTAAGTTCAACAAAATTTAGAGGCAGTGACTGTTTGGTCTAGCTTCTATTCCTTTTGCTAAAAAACTACTTAATTAGCTCATTAAATCAAAACATTTGTCTATTATCAGGAAAATAGACAGTTTTATCCTGTGCTGCTATGCCAAAAAGAGTATTCCAACATTAACGGAATGTGAATCGGAGTCAAATGGCTTTTCCAGCTGTGAGGACATGTTGAAAAGCATCGTTATTCGTGTGGGAATATGGGTACAAGGACTCTTTGCTTCATTTGGCAACCTTGCAGTCATAGTATGGTGGACAGTTTTGGGCAGAAAGCCACGTTCAAAATCCACAAGAAATAAACCTAATGTACAATCCTTACTCTTAAGACATCTTGCTTTGGCTGACTTCCTTATGGGGATCTACCTGCTTTTCATAGCGATACAGGATTCTTTGTGGAAAGGAGAGTATGTGGATCATGACGTCGAATGGCGATCTGGAATCTCCTGTCAAATAGCAGGAGCCATCTCGACTCTCTCAAGTGAAGTCTCGGTGATGATGCTCGTTGTCATGACTGCAGACCGATTCAGCACCATCGTTTTCGACTTCAAAGGGAAACGGCTTAATCTAAAATCTGCTCACTGTGTTTGTCTTCTCGTTTGGATCACGGGAATTTTCATCGCCTTCAGTCCAATGTTTGCAACAAGTTACTTCAACGATGAAAAGACAGGGTTCTCATTCTATGGACGATCAACTGTGTGCAACCCCTTTCAGCTTTCCTCGTACCAGCCTTCAGGATGGGAGTACTCCGTCGCGGTGTTCATGGCATTCAACGGAGCTGCCTTTTTATTCATTCTTGTTGCTTATGTAGCAATATTCATTAAGGTCCAGCGGTCCGCCAAAAGAGTCCAGTCATCGAGAGAACCATCGTCTCTAGGCTCAAGAATTATGTTCATTGTCCTGACAGATTTTTGCTGCTGGATGCCAGTCATCGTGCTTGGTATTCTGTCACTTGCTGGAAAGTTTTATGACTCGACAGGACAAGTGTATGCTGTGATTGCTGTATTTGTTCTGCCAGTGAATTCCTCCATCAATCCTATCATATATACCTTTGCTACKCCACAAGCGCAGAAATTATATCAACAAATGACGCAAGGATTGCGAGACAAATTCCAGGTTTGCATCTGAAGTAGTATTGTTTATATAATTAATTGATTGTGGTCGTGCCTTTTTGCAGGGTCCATCACACCTTGCACGGTCATTAATTTAGTTAGGGACTGCCAAATTGTCCCAAATATCCCAAATTGTACTTCAATGAAAAAAGAAAAATAAACTTCAGCCGCGCATTTCTATATTTGGGTTGACATGCATTTGAGTAGAGAGAAGATCCTTTCTTCTGTATCCCTTTTATGTCGTGTTTTAAATAAAGCATGCGCACTTCGTGACCCTTAATGTACTAGGCTAGAAAGCTTGGAGAATGAGTAAATACTTCTTTTGAAAAAAACTAATGTACTACGTGAATCGATTACCAACCAATCACAAAATTTTGGACTTGATGCTAATATTCTTTTATCAGGGTTGGAAACCAAAGAGAACAGAAGGCGCGGATCTTGATAATGCCGGTTATACTGAAGAAAATGAACATGGCATCGAACTAAAAGAGGTTAAGGCTGATATAGCAGATTAAACAAAGCAATATCCCCAGCATTACTTACAAAATCTATACTTATAAAATCTTATAAAAATCAAAATCTTAAAAAATCACTACTTTATAAATCGGATTAGAGTACGATTTGTCGCACGATTTCTATATATGGATGTACATTAACAGGCTTTAATATTAATATTTAGAAATATAAAATTAGGAAAATACTAGCGCTGCGTGCTAGTCTTCATCCTCTGCTAAAAATTTCTTTTCGAGTTAAGTTTGAATCGTAGAAAACTTTAAAATTTCTTCTTCGCATTTTATGTACATGAGTATCGTCATGCGTACATCAGCTCTGTGTACACGTAAAGCGATATATGGAAGTCGTACGACTAACCGTTCCCTCAACTAAGCATATATAACACATTCTAAACTCCTGCGTCAGTGAGTTTCCACAATCCATTGTATGGATTAGAGTGATCGCCTCATTATGTTATGCAAAACATCCGTTCCGCATGAAACAATTATAGTCTTTTTTGCACTTTTCTGCCATTTGAAAATGACGAGTAGTCGCACAACTTAAATCGTACGTACCTCTACGTATAAAAAGCCCTGCAGTTGTTGCAGCGATCGAAAACTGCCGAGAAGTTAGTGAAGTTAGTGTCTGGTCTGAAAAGTTTTGAGCATTTTTGACGTCAATTTCATTGTCAATAAGAGTACATTCCCTGATGATGCTGTAGACAGCGAAAGCTTGGAACAATTTATTGTAAATAAGATCTACAACCAGCAGCTTCGGCTACATTTTGTACTTTCTACTTCAGAAACCTTTTGGATTTGGGTTTTTCAGCGACGTATTGTCMAAGGGTTTTGACTTTACATTAAAAGCACTCTAGATCTAAAATGATAGACTATCAGACTATCAGTAATTGCTTCTCAGACTGATAAAAACCTCTAAAGTTTATTAGTCAATGAAGAAGGCAGAAAATATTAATAATTGATATGTTTAGGATACATTATCAAAGCAACCACAGAAATATATGTAACTTAAAAAACGATATCGATATCGTAAATGATCTATTAGACGCACTCTTTCCAATACCGTATCTAATGAACGTGTCTCTCTTGTCTTTCCAAAAACATTTAAGCGATCCCCTCTAATTACCGCTAAAAGACGYTTACCTGAAAAATATACTTTGTAAGCATAACAATGGCAATGAACAAACAAACGAGCATAGTATTTTTGTACTTCACCAGTTATAACGGTTTTCTCATCATATCCAGATACATCCCAATTTCAAAGTAATGTCATCAAATCCCGTTGCTATTCAGTCTTTTAAATGTGATGGTAATTTTTCGAATGATATAATTAGAATAAACGTCTCTCTATAATAAAGCCCTGCACGAAAATGTGGACACCCCAGAACTCTAATAGATCATTTATGGTATAGTAACCATTCTTGTCGAAAGACCCGTATAAATATTGTAGTTGTTAAATCAATGATTTTTGTAGTTTTCTAATTTTATAGCGCGAGATGCAAGTAAGGTAATTCGCAATAACTATTTTAATAGGCAACGTGCTGAGCCTATAAGAAGATGCTAATTTTTGAAAGGAATCAAAGAAGATGCATGGAGTCTTCGCAACCTTTTGTGTCTGGTGAAGTAAGCATCAGGAAAATTCCTTGTCAGGTACTAATTCATCTGACGTAAAATTTGCTTTCGGCTCATCTTGATGTATTTGTTTTGACAGCTGTGGATTGCCTATTGCATCTGTTCTTTTGAGTCCATGATGTATTTGTTTTGTTAGCTGTGGATTGCCTATTGCATCTGTTCTTTTGAGTCCATGATGTCCATCACGTGAATCTAGAGTTAAGATGCTCTTTGCGATTATATCTATATTGCACTCGTTTAGTTCTTCATCTATAGATTGTGAATTAGTATAAAGCAATAAAGGTCTATTAAAATCAATGCTGGCTCTCTTCCTTGCTCCCAGGGTTTCTCTCCAAGTTAGCTTCTTTTCCTCTGTCAGTGAAAAGTAGCTGTGAGGAGTTTTACGTGCTAAAAAGCATTCAATGTCGGTTTTCGTGAGTCAGTGCGAGCGAGTCTGATACTTAATAATTAGCCACTGTGGTTAGGGAAACCCAGCTACAACTCCCAGTATCTAGACGCTTCTTTCATTTACCAAATCACATTCTTCGTTGTCAGCACATGCACTGTTGCCATGGTTTTGCGACGACTATACCTTGACTTGTTCTGTGAAAACTGGTTTTGAAGTGTAGTCCAGTGTTCAAATTTTTATCGACTTACAGCCCTTACCGATAGAAATTTCCATCTATTGCCAGCTTTCGTGTCCGAGCAGGAAACTGAGTACAATTAAGTTGCACAAATCGGTGTGTGACCTACATCTACCTTTCTCCTCGCAAAACAAAAAGGAAGTAAACGGAGAAAAAAGCAAAAGCAAAATTGTAATAAGTAGTAAAATCTTGAAAAAAACAAAAAAACAAAACAAAACTGATCATATTTTATAGCACTTCAGAACCGTTCACAGTTATCGGTTCTATTGTGACACGTCTAGTAATAAGGCCGGATAGCTTGAAGCGGTTTACTGGCGAAACTAGACGATCATGGATCGCTTACGTGGGCTTCCTGTGACAATGGTGTTTCATTTTCACAAGATAGTCTTTGTTTGTAATAAGTCAAGACAGAATTAAGTTAATATGTTATCAATTTATTACATCATAATTTTTTACCGAACTGAACTCTAAGTAAATTCTTTGGATACCATGTCTTTTTTCTCAGTTTTCCAAAATAACTAGCTCGACTTTATGCTCAAGAGCGTCTATATTATTCAAAATATCTGATAGGTCATATAGGTCACATAAACAATAGAAACGGTACAGTCTTGGCAGTATAAATTTGAATAATATTTTGATCATTTGAATCATGTATCTATATCTTGTGTTTCTGTTCTTTTTTATTTGGTGTTTTTCATTAATTTGTAAATCTGGTGTTCTGTGCCATCATAAAGGTGTACCTTAGCCTTCTAATGACAGTTCATATTTTTGGATTTGTCTAAGTTTTTCAAGTTAAACAATCATCAAAACAAACAATAGAGAATTAAAATGCTTCATACACAATATAGATTTTGTATACAGAGTTCAGTAAAGCTCACACGTGCAGTTTTCCGAAATTCAAACACATCGTTAGTTTAGAAAATGGCATCAATATTTTTTAGATGAGGTTTGATATGCTTTATTTCATCGAATGATTGTTTTCTGTCAAAGTATGAACCTTAAATATCTATGCGATTTCTTATTTTTGAAGATTTTGTGTTTGACATCGAACACTTGTGTGACGAAGAAGTACTGCTCTTCGAGTCGGCGGTAGAAAATDCCCAGTCATTTCTGYACGAATCATCCGCTAATCTTGAATTATATACCTCAATCCATGTCGTTTGGATGGTAATCAGTTGATTTTGTAAGATTTTCAGCTCTTTAGAGCATTTTAGCTACATTTTAGAACCATTTGAAACGAGACAACTTTTTGCCGCCGTCTGTCAGCCATTTTGTTTTCATTCTGAGACTGCAGTCCATCTGCAACGCAGGCGCTACCAAAAATCGCTGATTGGTTTATTTTGACATCTCCATGGAAACTGAGTCTGTAACGCATGCGCTATCGATGCGGTACCAATTTGAAGCGTAATATTCACCACCACGACGAAAAAGCCAGTTGCATTTTTAGACGTGGACTTCCACAGGAAGCCCACGTAATAAGCCGCGAGGGATGGTTAGGAGAACACGAGAAAAGATCACTAAATGTCCTAAATCACGGGACGTCAGTCGAGCGATTTACAGCTATCGTTTATATTGCTTTTATACTATAGCCGGCGTTTGCCATTTAGACTCAAAAGTCTTTCAAGACAACAAGCTGTGGTTTACCGGTGAAATAAACCATAGGTTTTCTCATGAAATCCTCCAATCAGCGCGCTTGTTAAAATTTCTGCTTTCTGCTTCTACGGAACATTTCCTAGAGCAAAAAGCGGTTGTAAAAGCCTTTGTCTAAATACCTGTAGAAATGCGTGATTATTCGTGCCAATGTCGTCGTTTTTTTAAACATTTCTAAGAAATTGTATCAACATATTAGCAAAATATTATGTTTCAAGATTATTGAATCAAGGGGTTATAAATGTCCCTTTTCCATTGTTCATTCATGCAAACAAGTAGTAGTAAACTTTTAGAGCTTAGCTTTTCATGTGCAAAATGTTTTTTTTTTTTTTACTTGGGGTTCCAAAGACGTCAAACGTTTTTCTGACAATCAATGAAATAAAATTCTCTTGTTTTCCGTCTTCTCCGTTTACTTACATTTTGACAAAACTGTGTCTTGATAAGTTGTTCCTGGTGGCAATTGTCTCTTTTCGTCGCCGTTTTCCTTAACTCGACGTTCTTCAGTCCGGGATATTACTAGTTTTGGGAATATTTTGTAAACACAGCTCTTAACCAATCACAGACGAGAACACATTCGCGTTCATGGTAACAATCAATCATCACAGGACATGCAATACATTTCTTTTGAATGTCGTAACATATTATTACGTAGAAGTCTCTGCTATTTGTATACGTTTGGTGTTCTATTGATTGAAGTGTATAAGACACGGCAAATTTGATAATGCTCGTTTTGTTTTGATACCGTCGAATGTTTTTGTTTGTTGTTGCTAATCAAGTAAATGTTAAATCAAAACCCTAATCTACACACATGAAGCTCTTTCTATCAATTGAACAAATAATATACGCTTCGAAAGAGGGCCGATTTAAGGCAGTTAAAGCCCACGAGTAGTCCCGAACCGTCACAGAAACGCACGTTCGATTGTTATCAAGGTGATTTGAGTTTTCCCTTTCTTAGCTTCAAGTATAACGAATTCATTCCTTAGTAAAAATCTTCTAGTAGTTTATAACTGTTATAATGACAGCACAACACATGATAAGAGTAGTGTATTTTAATAAATACACTAGAATTGATAGTCTTTGTCAAGCTCTCCTCACTTTGATAGTCACGTGGCAGGCTATAAAGACAGAGTCTTTTATCCTCTCTGCTAAATAAAATAGTTGCAATCGATCGTCGGTTTTTCCTCAGTGAATTCTGTTCGCATTCCTTAGAGAAGTCCTTTGTATTTTCAGAGCCTGTAGAATCAGTTAGCATAGAGTTCGCTTTTGATAAGATTGGTTCGAATTTCACGATAAGTTTCACAATAAATTTCAAGATAAATTCGCGGTATCTCTCAAAATGCCCTTTCGAAAAACGCTCGACATCTTTTAGTGTGGCTATACGGCGAATGGTGTGTGGATTTGTAAGAGATTTGAGCGTGTTTGAAGTTGAATTCATGTCTTCCATCTCGTATAAAGACGACACCTCGACGACACCATAAGATAGCACATGGAAGTTGTGAATGTCACGTGATTCGTACCCAGTGCATTCTAATTTGGCCGAGACAATTTGTGTACCAAATGCGACTACCACTACCATGACAAAGAAGGCCGAAACCTAAACTCGGCGGTTCCACAGGAACCCCGAGTAAAAATCGCTTTAGTATGTGAAACTAGTCGAAAAATCGCAAAGAAGCAGCATAAAAACTCGAATATTTTGAAAACGTATACTTGTCTTATACAATACTTCACAGCTATGGCTTCGTTTGTTATACTAGAAAGCCTTGGCGGGCAAAGGTTCATGGGANGATAAATTTCAAGATAAATTCGCGGTATCTCTCAAAATGCCCTTTCGAAAAACGCTCGACATCTTTTAGTGTGGCTATACGGCGAATGGTGTGTGGATTTGTAAGAGATTTGAGCGTGTTTGAAGTTGAATTCATGTCTTCCATCTCGTATAAAGACGACACCTCGACGACACCATAAGATAGCACATGGAAGTTGTGAATGTCACGTGATTCGTACCCAGTGCATTCTAATTTGGCCGAGACAATTTGTGTACCAAATGCGACTACCACTACCATGACAAAGAAGGCCGAAACCTAAACTCGGCGGTTCCACAGGAACCCCGAGTAAAAATCGCTTTAGTATGTGAAACTAGTCGAAAAATCGCAAAGAAGCAGCATAAAAACTCGAATATTTTGAAAACGTATACTTGTCTTATACAATACTTCACAGCTATGGCTTCGTTTGTTATACTAGAAAGCCTTGGCGGGCAAAGGTTCATGGGACTGGAGCTTTATTTGAGTATTAGGGGCTAAAATGGAAAGRGTTCGGAAAAAGCTTCAGCCGCCATTTTGTGATAGAAATGATATTACCAAAACTGGTAATATTCCGGACTGTTCTTGGTTGGGTTGTTCTTTTAGTAAGATGTACAACTTTTTGCGTATTTTTAAATAAAAAATAAATAAAAACATTTAGTGATTTATATATTTCATTCATTTTTTGTCGAACTAGTATGCTAATACTACCTAACAATTACTAGATCTCGAGGGCGAGTGGACTAAGAGATGATAGCTATCAGCTCGTAATCCATGAGGCCGAGAGATCTGATTATTAGGTAGTATTACCATACTAGTAGACTATTGCAAGTCTTCCGTACTGATTGGCCACGCTACTCGGACTTCAGCCTCATGTGCTATAAGCTCGTAGTCCACTCGCCCTCGAGATTACCATACTCGTGGACTATTGCAAATCTTTCGTTCTGCTAATTGGCTACTCTACTTGGCCTTCGGCCTCATGGGCTATAAGGTAGTCAACTCGCCCTCGAGCCTAATTGTTAATAAGTAACAAATTGAATATTGAAACGCATGCAAATTTCTGACGGAAAAAGAGTCAAGCCGCCCATCGATAAGCTAAGAGCTGTATTTCGTCCAAATTGATAAAGGCAAAATTCACTTTCATTTCTGTTTTGTTTACATTACGTATAGATTGAAGATATGCGCTGCTTCCGAGAAACATTAACGCAGGTTACAGGACCGTACCAGAACTTCTAACGGGAGGGTGCACCCCATCCGATAAAACCGGACCAATTGGCCTTTATTATTAGTAGAACCTTTCAGAATATAAAGTTGGGGTGGTTTTTTTAAATCCCATGAAAAACACAACAGCGTATTACAACTTATAACACTTATTAATTAGCGTTTTCGATTATGTTATGTTGATTTCATTATGGTTTCTGGGTGATTTGAGAAAATGGGACTAGCCAATCAGCACAAAGCTGACAAGCTTATGTTGTAAACATAACCCCCCGACGGGAGGAATGTGCACACCAAAACTCGACCCAGTGGAGTAGGCTGCCTGTCATTTTATTCCATCCGAAAAATCAAAGCTAAAACGCAAAGAGAAATTGAAAATCTTTATAAAATAGCTTTTATTAAATGTCAATCAAATATTTATCGTTATAGAAATAGAATTTTATCTTAAAAATGAAATAACAAATAATTTTTTCTTTAATACCAAGAGACTCCCCTCCCTGATAAAAATAATTGGTCTGTGTTCTACGCGGGTTCTCCATTGCATGCGAAGCAATGGCCGACTTCACGAAGACTTCAGAAGGTCGTTGAAGCGACATTCAAATCCAAAGTATCTTAGGAGGAGCCATTGCAAATCCTTTTTCTTAGCTCTTGTTTCCTCTAAGCTTTGAGGTATCTACAACATCACTGAAAGAGCTAGAGCAGCTTAGCTCCACGTATTTTAATAGAGTTAAAGCGTTTGTTATTTTTGGTACAAACAATTGTCGTAGTTCATCCTTTGTCGCATTTTCGGCAATAACCCGCAAGCATGCTCGACGATGGCAACGGGTTGACGTTATGTAACAGGTCGGTTACACATTTACTAGCTTTGACCTTACAACGAGAGTTAGAACGGTGACTGGGTTTTTCGTGTAATGTCTTGATAGCGACTGCTTATTTCGAAACGACTCAAAAGAAAATTCCATTTGAAAAAAGTTCGACTAAATTCCCATCTGAAAAACACGTCTGTATTTAAGGTGGAAAATGTTTCATATGAGCATTCAATTCTCTAAGGTTTAATTCTATAATCATTTTGTTTAGTTATGTAAATAAATTTAACACGACTTGTACTGTTTATCTGAGTGAAAGGCGAGCTGCGGGTTTTCCCTTTCCTTTATTTACATTTTCAAATATGACCGCTTAACAAAAATGCACGGGCGCACTGGCTTACAACATTGGCGAATTCATATGCAGGCCTAGTCGCAAATCAATCACCCAGTTCAGTTCGAAATCCAGTTCGATTTCTTTTTTTTTTTTTTAACCGGCCGCTTTGTGGATAAAATCGACAAAATAAATCTAACATGAAGATCCATTTCATTTATTAAAAAAATATGGAGATGGATGAGCGGACCTTCAGCTTCTCTGTGAGGGTGCACGTGCACCCAGTGCACCCCCTGGTTACAGGCCTGAGATTATACAAAAAATTGACGGTCTCAAAAGCTCAAACTCAAACCTGCCCTCGAATCATACTCTTATAGAAATATTCAAAACTTCTGCATGGTTTATTCAGCTTTATTTTAGCTCTTTCGCAGATTAAAACTAATCACTCTTCACTCAAGCAGTATGTGATGCATTCAATTTGCTAAATCATTATTTAGAGCTTTGTTTAAGTCTATCAACTATGCTAAGCAAAATCCTGTCTCTTTTCAAGTTGGCGGACATATCAAGAAAAGAGATCTATTAGCCCTTCATTTGCTTTAGCAGACTCACATAATCTCTTTTAATTCAGTGTTGTCATGCCTTTCTTCTCTAAAGCCGCCATTGTCGAGATCCATGCCTCCTGTTCTGTTTTGTTTCCAGACTAAGTTCTATAAAAAATTATAATTGCATTAAACGGATGTGTTGTTATTGTTAGCTGGAAATTATTGAATCATATACATGTAGTAGGTAACCAAAACAAATGCGTTTACCGTAAATCTAATAGACGCCCATGTGGTCTGTTGGGGGGAAGGGGCTAAATAAACAAGATGGTTTTTATAGTTATTACAGAGAGTTGTGAATCAATTCAAAACGCTTTATTTGAAACATGCCCTTAAAAATCTATCTGAGAAGAGAAGCCTTTTCTTCTTAAAATGTATGAAAGCCAACTGAATATAGATAAAAGATTGCAAAATTTATCGCTATATACTATTATTTTTTGGTTCATCACCAGTGTATTTCGTCATGAGTAAAAAATTACAAATTGATAATACTTGGAAGGCTAAATAAAACTGTTAAATTAGATTTTGAATTAACAGTTTTTAGCGGAAAAATAATTTCACAAATACAGTCGAATTTCTACTTACGGGCGCTCCCGTAAGCGGACAGTTGTACATATAAAATACAGTCGATTAACCATCTACAGGAAGAGTCTGGTTTGGATGTTTATTTAACTCAGAAACGTAAAATATTGCGAAAAACGTATCTCTTTTTCCAACGCCTCTTAGCAATCTTGCCCTGATTACCCATGATCCATCGTCAAGCGTTAACTCGTCTATTGTTCTCCATTGCATGTCAAGATTATTACAAATATCTTCTCGATGCCTTAATGCATTAATTAAGAAAAGAACACAAACAACCTTGTGTTTGTTTGTTTGTTACAGGGTGAGGGTGCCCGTGGTGCAGTTTGTGACGATATGTTTCGAACTAACAAATTAAGAAATTTAGTTTTCTGTTTTCTCGGGCCCGTTTCGTTTCAATTCAAATCAAAAACCATTAATTGGGCTTCCTGAAGAAGACGTTCCATATATGGTGATGCGCATTTCCAAAAACAAAAAGGCCCTCGTACTTCTGAGAAACAGAGCTCGAGCAACGAATGCTTTTTTTCTCCTCTATCGATCACGATTCTTTTGCGCGAAAGCCATAGATCGATATGACATCATAATGACGTCATATGAATTTATAGCGGAGCTCCCGCGCGGGCCGAAGGCCTGCGCGCAGCGGAGCACCATAACTAAGGAAAAATGGTAAACCCATGGGGATGAGTTTTGATCAACCGACACWGGAAGCCCAGTTGTCCTTCCGTACGTACGGCGTACGTCCGTCCGTGTACATTGCGATTCTGATTGGCTACTTTTGAGAAGACGGGAAAAGGAAGCGCGCTCGCGTAGGTTTTTGAAAACAACTTTTTCATCGCAACTCCATTTTTGTCCTTTCAAATACTTTACTTCTGCGCCAAATGTTGGAAAATCAACGGGTAGCTAACGGAAAGCGATCTTTATCTGAAGAAGAAAAGACAAGAAGAAAAGAAGGAGAGCGTCGGAGAAGTCTAAGTGAAGAACAACGCAGGCTTGAAAGGGAAAACGTGAGAGACGAAACAAGTTTATCAAGACTCAAGCAAATCGAGAAACAAGTGAACGCCAAAGACAACGATTATTGATGGAGAATTTCTCAGAGGAGAACTGACATATTCTCCGACGATACCGTGGCGTTATTAAACAAATGGCGGTATGTTAGATTAAATTATAATGTGCAAGCGGTTTTTGGTGCTCAAATTAAGTACTTATATCAATTCTTCTACTTCAAGAACCTTTGGCAGTTTTAATCTGGTTTAAATTTGCTTTTGAATTTGAAAATCTTCACCTGATACACTTCAAAACTTCTCAGTTAAATGAGCTTGTTGACAATGAAATTATGTGTGATTTGTGTACACGTACATTCTATCCACAATAATAATCTTCTTTGACATAAAACTACTCGGGTGTTTTAATTTATAAAACTATGCATTTTGAAAAGAGAGCCTTGATATTATTTGAATGTTCAGATTTTTACTCCTTATTCTTCAATAAACTCTTTAATACAAACTTTCAACAAATACAGAGAGCAAAGATAAGCAAAGAATTTGAAGTGTTGAAAAATGGATAATCATTATGAACATTATGATTCCTTTGTTTAAAAAACTTTCAAAATGTATTTATTACTTATCATTAATGATCACTGTATGTCAAAAATGTATTGATTAGTGTCATTCCTGTTTGATTAAATTACTATCTCGTGGGATATATAAATTCAAAACTTGAAGATAAAATTCATATCTTCAAGCGACAGCTGTAATGTTCTGTCTATTAAATGACATTGGTGTAAGCAAAAGTCTGTAGTTACAYAAWSAKWAGAAKATCAAAAAGTTTGAACATTTCAAGAATATGAATTTATGATTTCTGCATGATTAAATAATGCCAAAACTGTCAAAATGCATTTATATTATTTGATGATTAATGTAAAGATTGAAAAATACCAACTATTAAGAATTTAAAACAACAAAATTGCAAACAATTTCTATTGACATATAAAGATGCATTTGTTATTATTTTTATTATTTCTGCATGAATGAAATTTTTTTTTAAAACTGTCAAAATGCATTTGTTATTATTTTATGATTCCTTTAATGATTGAAAAATACCAAAACTGCCAAAATGTATTTAATATTATTCATAATTCCTGTATGATTGAAAAATGTCAAAGTTTCAAAATATATTAAGAATTAATATTAATTTATGATTTCTGTAAGATTATCTAAGGAAGTTTTATTTTGGTAAATAACCACAATAATTCAAAATAAGTGGTTTTCTTTACATATATTTATATATATCACTGCTTTGCATCAACAAAGCTGAAGAGAAAAAGTTTAATAATTATTTAATGTAGTGCCATGGAATTTTTTTTTGTTAGCAAAAATAAATTAGTCTTGACAAAACATGTACTAAAAATCTGACCAATGTGTCTTTGCATCACATCTTCATCCAACATGCATATCTTTTGGGAGCTCCGCTATTAGGTTTTACCTAATTTTTATATTAGTGACAATTTGAATACAGCATGAAAGTGAGATTTACTACGCTTGTGACCAGAGGCTTGGCGAAAAAAATCGACAATCCTCTGGAAGACGTCAGAGTTGAAAAGCGATTTTTCGAAGACAATGGCTCCAAGTAACGGTTTTCTTTGAACTGGAGACATCAGAGTAAGATCGCTTTCCTGGTCCTTTTGTGGCAGATTTTTGAACCTAATATAACAAGGAAATTTTGGCAATATTGGACATCCAAAGAATACAATCGGTCTGATATTTTGTCTGTAGGTGCGAGGGATCTCACAATAGCGACCTTTAGATTTGAGAACGAAGACGAGAACGAAGACGAAGTTTCGAAAATTCGCCGTTAAAGATTACGACAGCTCATGAAATGCCACGCAACTTCGTTGCCTCCTTGTTGTTTTTGCCAAACTTCGTTCTGTTCAAAACGAAGTTTTTATCAGCTTTTCTTGGACTTATTTTGCAATGAAAATCTGAAGAAAATACAMAAACATCGACTTTGGACATCCCTTGTTTTACTTTGARCAATAAKTATGCGAAAATATCCTTAGTTTGTGCTAAAAGTGGCATAAACTAAACCATGTCAAACTAGTTTTTTGGAGTGAATTTGCAATTTCTTTTGATTATGCTCGAGCGAGCTGACGACATCAAAGTTGTGCGCGCTCACCAACTTCGTCCTCGTCCTCGTCTTCGCTCTCAAATCTAAAGGTCTCTAATTTCTTAAAACAACAACACTGCACGATTTATGCCCACATTTTCTGTCTTCCCATAATGCATTTCGATCGTGAAATTGAGATAAAAATCAGTGTTTCTTGCGGTTCTTCAAACACAAATTTTGTCATTCATTTCAAATCAGAGTATTGTTTTGTGTCGTTTTTTCCTCGTTGCGAAATTCGACAATAAGATCGACAATATCAACTACTAATTTCGTACGAGAAATTTAAGGGCTATAGCTTACTATTTCGGTAACTTATAGATTTTAGACGCATAGGTCGAATTCGACCTAAATTTCAAGAGACAGTCGGGAAAGAGTTAAAATAATCTCGCAATATACTACTTCAAATGCAAACCTGGAATTTGTCTCGCAATCCTTGTATCATTTGATGATATAATTTCGTTGCTTGTGGAGTAGCAAAGGTATAAATGATTGGATTGATGGATGAATTCACTGGTAGAACAAATACAGCAATCATAGGGTACACTTGTCCCGTTGGATCGTAAAACTTTCCGGCAAGTGACAGAGTACCAATCACGATGACTGGCATCCAGCAGCAAAAGTCTGTCAGGACAATAAACATAATTCTTGTCCCCAGTGACGATGGTTCTCTCGATGACTGGACTCTTTTGGCGGATCGCTGGACCTTAATGAATATAGCTACATAAGCAACAAGGATGAATAAAAAGGCAGCACCATTGAAGGCCATGAACATGGCGACGGAGTACTCCCATCCTGCAGGTCGTTCTGAGGAAAGCTGAAAAGGAATGCAAACRGTCGACCGTCCGTAGAAYGAGAAMCCRGTGGCTTSATCTTTAAAGTAGCTTGTGGCAAACAATGGGCTGAAGGAGATGACAAATCCAGAAATCCAAACGAGAAGACAAACGCAATGAGCAGATTTCCATCCCAGGCGTTTGCCTTTGAAGTCGAATACCATGGTGCTGAAACGATCAGCGGTCAACACCAAAAGCATCATCACTGACACCTCACTCGATAGAGTTGAGATGGCCCCTGCTATTTGACATGATACACCAGACCGCCAATCGACATCATGTTCCACGTACTCGCCTTTCCACAAGGCATCCTGTATCGCTATGAAAAGCAAGTAGATCCCCATAAGAAAGTCAGCCATGCCCAGATGTCTTAAGAGTAAAGATTGTACATTAGTTTTATTTCTTGTTGTTCTAGAAAGTTGCTTCTTGTCTAAAACGGTCCACCAAATCATCACGCCAAGGTTTCCAAATGCAGCAAAAATGCCTTGTGTCCATATGCCCACACGAATGACGGTGCTTTTCAGCATATCCTCGCAGCTGGAGAAACCATTTGATTCCGATTCACATTCCTTTAGTGTTGGGATACTCTTTTTGGCATAGCAGCACAGGATGAAACTGTCTATTTTCCTGATGATGGTGAAGTACGTTATTTTTATTACTTTGTTGACCAACCAAAATGAACAAAAAAACGGAACAAATAAAAAATAATCTTAATAACAAAAATACACACAGCGAGGATGGATTTTAAAAAGTTTACGTTACATTACGGCTACAAATATATTTCGATCACGGAAAAACACGTGGCCTCATTTTGCCACTGCTAATATTATATTTCAATCTTACAGCTTTATAAACCTAGCGCAGTGTGCATGTAACTTACAGATATATGAGGTTTTTCAATTCTGAAAAGGTGTCGCGTGATATCTCTGTCTCTTTGATAGAATTGTTGTGGAGCATTCTGAAAACCAAGAAAGTATATCTAGTTTCCAGAAAACTTTGGTGTTTGTTCATAAAATAGTACTAGAGCGCAAGCAGTGTAGATAGCAGAAAAAGAAAACAAGAATTAATACAATTTATTAACCTTGTTTAAACACTAAAGTATTTCATTTTTTTGTGTGTGTATGTTTGCATTRTAAAGTAAAACTTCAAGTTCATCATAAGTGCTTACAATTTCTCAAGCATGGAGAGTCCTCGGAACGATGATTTGCTGAACTTTTCTAGCTTGTTGTTATGCAGATACCTTAACACAAAAAAGAATGAGAAGGACGCCATATTGAAAATGATTAATACCCACACACACACGCAATTTTAATTTCAAAAAGTCTTTTCTATCTTCAGTTATGAAAAAAACGGCCATGCATAGTTTTGATTTTCATTTATGTAAATGAATATAACGTAATGAATTACGCTATGGACGGCATGATCTAAAGAAAGTAAAAACACTGACAGAGTGCATCATAAAAACTCAACGTCAGGTTATCGATTTTTCTTTTTTTCTTTCTCTCTCCCTCCCTTTTACCCTTTCTTTCTTTCTTTTCCGATGTCTACTACATAAATCATAATCAGACATAATTTCACATAAACTTACAACACTCTCATTCCAAAAAGCAAAACAACAAAAAAGAAATACAAATTGGATTCTACATAAACTTACAGCACTTTCAGCTTCCCTTGGTTACGGAAGAGACCACCAGGGATTTTTTGGATTTTATTACCATGTAGATAACTATCAAATGACAACAAAATTTTTTTTTTCTAGGACGCATATGATAAGTTCTCATTTCTCTTCACTCAAGCAAGTGTCCACTAATGCTGAAAACGACTTTCAATTTGAATGATTGTTTTAATTGTCGTGACAAAATTGTTTCGTGTATACGTCTGCTCTCTTTAAACGAAATATATATATATTGTAAACATCGGTAAATGTATAATAAACATAGAACTTTACACCTTTTTCAAAAAACGTTGTCGTCACCACGACATTGAGGCTAACACAGACCAACCAAAACTCTAAATCGGAGTATTCTAAATAACTAAAATTGAATATATAATTTTTTATGGCAATTCCGAGATTCTTTGCAGGCTCAAGACCGTGGACTGTGTCCTGGCGACGACAACATTTTTTGGAATTGGTGTACATAGGATACACATTACGACACTCTCATACTTAATTTTTAGGAATCGTATCCTCATTCCAATATTGAATAGAAGTGATCATTTAATGCAAAGGTTATAGAGAGATTGATTTTCATTCTTTTGCATGCGGATTATCGAGTTTTGTTTAAATGACTTACAGAGAGGAGAGTTCCGTATTGTTTTGGAAAGCATCATCATGAAGGAATGTGATCAAATTGTCACGAAGACTTCTGAAGATTAAAAAATATCCATTAAGTACAAAAGCAAAGAAATGCATGTACATAGTTATTTCAGAAAATCTGAATACTGAATAAGTGCAATTAAACACCACGTTAGCACTCAGAAGTTCTTTATGGAACGGAGCTGTGAACGGCGATAGTGCGAAAAACAATGCATTACGATGTATATCATTAGGTGTTCTTGGAAATAGCTGTATGTAATGTAAAACAATCTAGCTGGTATATATTTGCAGTCAGATCTGCAAAAGTGCATTCTAAATCACATTCTGGCGTCACTTTTGTATTTATCAGAGTACAGCCGCCTGGAAAATGTTGTCTCTAAGACCTTTTAGAGTTTTTGGAGGAATTTTTATTTTATTTTTTAAATTAGCATTATTATTATTATTTTTTTTTTTTTCATCGAGTGCGCGTGATTCCATTGAAATAGTCTCCTTCACGGTTAACTGCGCCATCTTGAAAGGTAGCCGTGCCTTTGCATGGAAGCGAGACAACCGTTGAGCGTACAATGATAGAAACCTTCTTTCACACCTACTGACAATTATTCACAGGTATCTATCAWTGCACGCTCAACGGTTGTCTCGCTTCGATGCAAAGGCAAGGCTACCTTTCAAGATGGCGCAGTTAACCGTGAAGGAGACTATTGCTGAACAATCACAATACACGCTAGCTCCTAATAGCGCATGCTACTCGACCAATCAAAGAGAGCTTCATATATCAAATATTTTGTAAATTATACCAGCTAGATGGAACAATGAAGGTTTTTTTGAAACAAGTAAATAACAAGGATCTTACAAAGCTTTCAGTTCTGGGAAAGTCATGAATGTCCTGTCTCCAATAGAACGTATCAAATTTTTGCCAATATCCCTAAAATTCAACCAAATACAGACCTAATCAGCAATGTGGAATTATCAAACGTTGCTCTATATTTTGTTTTACTAATATGCCAGCATTTTTTAAACAGTGCTTATGTGGTATTTCACACTGCATCAAAATAATTCTACTGTCACAGTAAATGAGTGATTACAAATGCGAAAAAGCATGTGAAAAAGGTTTCTTCAATTAATTCTTTCAAATTCACATTAGAAGATTATGAAATTAAGAATTGAATGCCTAATAGCCTCTAAAAAAGGCAAAATGTCACGCCATTTTCATAAATCGGGAAATATTTTAATATTTATATTAATATTTAAAAGAAATGTCTTTTTATTTTTTCTTGCGCTCCTGTTTTAATTTCTTCTTGGTCTATTCTGCTTTGTTCGTTTAACAATTATTTTCGAGCCGTTATTTTGATTTTTACTCAGACTATCATACTCGAATAGCGTCGAACTCGCGGGTTAGATTCTCGACTCCTTCTTTTTTTACTGAAATATACTTATTCTTATTTCTTTCTTAAAAATATTTGCTCTACAATCGCTCTACATATTTTACACGCAAGATCGTACATTCAATAAGCTGAAGTTCACGCATAAAAAAATACAATAATCTACTTACAGAATTTTCAAACCATCCACATCAATCCATGTTTCCTTTTCAATGTCCTTGATGAAATTCATGTTGAGTCGCCTGAATTTGTTTCGCTAATTAGTACGAATCTTTGTCAGCAAAATGAAGTTACGATTGTTTTTCTTTACTTACAATGTATGAAGTGACGGAAGTGAAGAAAATGCTTTTTCATCCATGCGAATAATCCTGTTGTAACTCAAGTCTCTATAAGAGAGAAGTAATGACATAAGTTAAATGAGAACCTTGGAAGAATATAATTACAGCTAATAGTCTCCTTCACGGATACCTGCGCCATCTTGAAAGGTAGCCGTGCCTTTGCACCGAAGCGAGACAACCGTTGAGCGTGCGATGATAGATACCTGTGAATAATTGTCTATAGGTGTGAAAGAAGGTTTCTATCATTGCACGCTCAACGGTTGTCTCGCTTCGATGACAAGGCACGGCTACCTTTCAAGATGGCGCAGGTAACCGTGAAGGAGACTATTATAGTAAAGATATAATAGTACGAACGCTCTTATTTTTCAATCATGTGATATATTTATCCATGTGGAATAAAGTGCGTCAATCCTGTAATTTGCAAAGTCTGGCAGTACGTGCCTAAATGTTTTACAAGTTCCGCTCTAGCATCCTAGACGTTTTTTCATCGGCCGGTGTCGTCACAAAAAGCGAATCGAAATAGCTTGCTGTTTCTTTTTTCTAGTGTTTTATCCTGTTTGTAGAGAGGAAATAGGATAATGATGTTCGCTGAACGATCAATATTCTTGAATTTCTTAATTGAATTTAGTCATGAATTGGACAAACACCAACAAAAAATACACAAACAAACAAAGAAACAAGAAACAGCATACATTAATGCCAACTTTTCGAGATTATCGAAGGTATTGCTTCTTATGTGGAAGATTTCATTTCCAGAAAATAAGCTGAAATGGAAAAAAATACAAATCATTACTTTTAGCAATTAAAACAATAATTGTGATTGGAAGTGATGGTGATAATTATGATGATGAAAACTTAAATTAGACTGTCAGTAGTTTCGTTGTAAAGAAGTAGGTTGAATCGAGGTCATATTTTTTAATGGACCTTGAAATAGCATTTTTTTTTTCTCTCTCTCTCTCTCTCTTCTAATGAACATTTAGAATTAATATATATTCTGTATCAATTCGATGTACACTATATCAAAATGAAATACATATGGAAAATTTAAATATAAATTCACCGAATTTTTGTCGCCCAAATTAACTCTATAAACGCACAGGGCGCCCAGGCACAACAGTTGTATTGCTTTCACAGCGGTGTCAATGTATTGTGTGGTTCGCCGTTTCTTGAGAATTTTCAAGACTTTCTCTTTTTTTAACCAAAAAATCAATCTTTATTCATAAAACTGTTTATACTTATTAAAGAAAAAAGAAAAGAAAGAAAAAGTCTTGAAAAATCTCAAGAAATGTAGTAGAAAAAAATTACGCTTTATGAGGGCTCGACAACCGCGAACCACGCAATACTTCGACATCGCCATGAAAGCAACACAACTGTTGAGCTTGGGCCCCCTGTGGTGAAAGTACCATATAAGAACCCATTAAAACTCTTTGTGATGTCTAAGATTTTTTTAAATATCAGTTGTTAAAGAAATATGAAAGTTGCGTCATAAAATTGAAAGTTATTTTACATCACTGTTGTTTCACGAGGAAGTCGACGAGGAACTGCATTGATACTTCGCGACGAGACAACTATTTGTCCATCAGACAGCTTTCGACATTGACAATCAGCAGGACAGTCTAAAAAACGAAGATTTTGATATATAAGTGACAATCATTTAATGCAAAATGTGTAACCGTTTTCATAGCATATTAGTCAATTCAAACAAACTTCCCCGAACTTCCGGAAATACCGCACTTTAGTTCCAGGTTGTCAGAAAGACAAGCACTGTCCCCGTGTCCGGATCTAGACTTTGCCAATTTTGCATAGTAGGTTGTAAACATTAAAACCATGAAAAAAATACTTTAAAACTATTCAAAGTCATTTGAATATTATAATTAATACCCTAGGGAATTGTAATTATGCAAATGAGTGTATATAGGGTCAGGGAGTGGCTACTCCAATCACTTCATTCAAAGTGCACAAGCAGTAGGATGGCTACCAACCCACCTCCCGCGGCAAGCGTACGACATTACAAGTAAAACAAATCCACCTTTGGGGCTTAACTGGACGGTTCCAGGCCAAGTGGATATCCCCATACCTCATTAATAACAATGGATAGGGTAGAATATTATACTAAATTATAGTGCTACGTCCCCGTCTAGTGTTCTGTCATCCAGAAAACCATCCTTCAAGATCCTACAGCAATGAAGGTTTACCTTGTAAGCATCCTTGGTTTGTATCATTATCTGAAAAAGTAATGTCGCAATGAGCAGATCATTTTGATTGACAGTTGATATGATTCAATGATACTAACAATACATCCTTTAGATCGATTTTATCATCTTGTCTAATGAATTCATGTGTTTTTTTTTCAAAGTGCAACATGCTATTGATGAACTAAAATATCTTCGCGAAGACCGACATTTACGCTCGGAAGTCGAGAATCATTTGGAAAACCATTAAAAGAGATGCCTGCAAATCAGCTAAAGCTATATAAAGACCAAGAAGATTAAGACTAAATTCAAAGACGTGTCTGCTGGGAAATAATGAGTACTTGCCTTTCGAAAAACAGCTAAAGCACATTAACTTATAGGTCAATGTACATGTGTCCCAAACCCTTAAATCCGCTATTTTGTCTTATTCAACTTATACTTCACACACTACAAGCTACAGTCCCGAATTATTAAATTATTAAATTATTGAACAAAACAGTTGAGATATTTCTTTAAATAAGTTGAATTTGGATGATCTATCTGCGTATATGATCTATCTCCCCCTCCCCCCCTCAAATCAATGTTGAAAGGACTGAACAATCATGCACAGCCTTCTAGCATCACGTCACACACACAACATTGCTTGGTGGGGGAAGGGGAGGATCAAAATCAATGATTTTTTAGAGATAGGAAAAATGGGGATATTTTGGAGTGAAAAAATGCCAGTATCTCAACTAGTTTTGTCCGGGATTGTAGATAAGTTTCAGCACTTAGAAAAGTAAAGACGAAGCGAAACTTAGTAGATGAGACCTTACGTTGCACCTTTTGTGATAATAGAACTCAATGGATCATTATCGCAGTGAGCGGTCAAATATGTGGAGGGGGAGCGGGCGCCGAGCGCCCGAAGGCGCGATTTTTATAGGGGGGTCCGGAGGGATGCAAAGTTGATTCTTTAACGTTTCCAACTTGATGCCGTCACAGTATCGTCGAGCTCTGATCATCTATTTTTTTTTTTCATTTTTTATTTTAACCTTACCGATTTCATTTATTATTAATTTTTCGGAATCAAAAAGTGGAGGGCCGCGCGCCCCCCCCAGCCCCCAGTCTCCGCGGCCCCTGTAACATAAAAGTGACCATCGTGGATGAGTTACCTTTCAGGATGCGGTAATGCGCCATGAATCCAGTGCGTGTTATCCTTCCATTTGATCGGAATACCACCGAAAGCTGGTTAGTAGTCGACTGAATGATTGGTGGATATCTGCAAAAATGTACAATGAAGAAAGTCAGAACTTTATTTATTTTTTATTTATAAGTTTCCTATATTGGCAGATTTTATGAGCATTAAAAGTAATAAAGTGATATCAACATATTGTTGTTGTTTTTTTCAGAAAAAAAAACATATGTTTTAACTCAAACATTTACATTACAAAATAACTGATCTCAATGCATCCTATTGTTCTTAGTTTCTTCTTCTTCGGCCAAAATAATACTCAATCTACATTTAGATCACAAAACAGCACCTCAGTTATCCTAGAGATATTGGTCGGTCATATGTTGCTTCGTTCTACATTCAAAACATCCCTGAAGCGTACTCTCCAATATATAGTTTGATGATATAAAATATACATAGAATCCCCGATAATGCTATCCTATGAGGGTTCAGTGCTCGTATTTTTACTATATCTCATCTAAATAATGCATGCATAAGGATTCATAAAACCAGCATGAAATGAAGTAGTCATTGTAATGACACATGCATCAATAGCAATATCCCTCTTTTAATGAAGATCTCACCTTATACCACAATATCGACCAATTCTTTTACCACCATCATAAACATCAACAGAGTCATTCTCACATCGTGCGCTCATTTCCAACTCAAACTCGGCGACATCTAGACGAATAACGTAACCTCGCTTCGCTATAATAGTCGAGTTGCACCTAGCGTTGTTGCTATAGTAACTTGGATAACAGGGAGACATAATGACGCCAGTCAAGTTTTTAAATATTTCATTGCACGCTGTGAATTGAAAATCACGTGATTACAAACAGCGAGAATACTATATATGAATACATTACCGTAGTACTTCAAAAATGTACGCACCTTCTCCTGCTGAAGCAGGTAACACGGGACAATACTCTTCAGTGGTATATARAGCTCCTATCGATATCAGTCCTGGTGCATTAGACATTTCGCCCTTGATGGCTATCTACAAACACAAATCATTAACAGTTATTAGGGGAAAAAAATTCTAAGTAATAGATCAAAAACGAGTGCGAGTGTTTCATCAGGGGATCCAAACACCGAGAAACAGATGAAAGMAYGCGGCCGAAGGMCAAGTGCTTTTAGCGTTTCGAGATGTTTGGATTCCCCTGATGAAACACGAAGCACGAGTTTTTTATCTGATTTCTCAAACAAATTGATAATGAATGACTTCAGCTGGCAAATTCCTTAAAGAACATAATTGGATTTATTCATCAGTCCTATTTTGGGTATGAATAGAATGAAAGTAGCATCATCAATCGCTATTATATATATAAACCCCAAAGGAGAGAGATTTGTAATAAATTTGTAGTAGTTCTGTTTATTCAGTTCAATATATTTCATAAGTTGAAATGGCGGAGGCAATCTCCGCGTGTAGATTTCGAGATCCAACAACTCGAGAAGAAGATGCTGAGTTATTGTCAAAAGCTACGCCACAATCTACAATACAAAACGAAGTGGGCCGTGGAAATKTTCATGTCATGGCAAATGTGTAGACATTACGAAAAACCAAGTACAAACGTATGCAAGATAGTGTCAAACGTTCTCGGACATGTCGGATCGCAGCCTGTGAGTTCGACCATGACCACGAGTACATCAACAGTACCCGGCCGGTCAGCAGGCGACAAGAGGGAGAAACGCATATCATCCAATGCTCCAGTAAACCCAGTAATCAATTTGTCATAAATGTGTATTACAAAAAACCTCAATAAGAAATATGTATGTTCAAATATGAATGAAGTATTCATAGAATAAATATAAAGAATAAAAGATGAGTACAAAATATGCAAAATGTGTACACATCTCTATAAGAATGAAAAAAAACTGACCACTAAATATCGTGGACAACTATAAAGTATAATCGCTTCTTTAGCAAATATAGATCTATCGATTTTCTACGTGTAATAAGTTAACATAGCCACAAGGAGAAATATAAATAATACGTCAAACCCAATACTTTCAACAAAATCATCACTAACTAAGTTGGTTACGCACTGGACTCTCAACCCAAAGGTCACCGGTTCGAGCCACTCCAATGGTAAGAAGTAGTTAATATAATATAGTAAAATAACTTAACAAAAAATTGATTAGTTAAAATAAAGATTAGAGAAGTAAGAAGAAGAGAAAAAAACACCCCAAAAAGATAAGTGGTTAAAAGTAACGGAGAAGTTTTAAAAGCCTAGCAAATTTATGTTAATGAGTTCCAAACCCATGTGTCTGGATATCCAAACACATGGATTTGGATATCTAAACACACGGGTTTGGAACTAATTAGCATTCGATGTTGGATCATGGTATCCAAGGGTATGCACGTGACTCTAAAATAAACATCCGATTGGACTATGAAGTCATGAATTATTAATGAGTTTGAGAAAGACATCTAAAAGTATCGAAGAGAGAATCCAATAGTTTAGGTAAGGATAGTGAGACAGTATAACATAAGGGACTGACCATTGAAAGGGGCAACATTGCTGACGTAGTGTAGCGCACAAGAATCGTGAAGACCAAGATAGCAATCTGGCTTATGAAAATGTGGAATCCGAGGAGAGCACGAAATTCAGTTGGTAGAACTAGTGACAGCTCATTGGATAAAGGACTGTGCAATGATCATCTTATAAATTGGTCAGTTCATGTACTGTTTATAAAGGTTCTGATGGTTATACTGTACATCATTGAAAGGAGGATGTCTGCGGTAACTTTAATGATCAACTGCATGGTCACAATGTAAACACTGAGTATCCCTATTCTTCGTTGCTGGTACAAAGAGTCGTCAAACATCTTACAATTATAAAGAATTTAATAATTACGTCATGGAAAGCTACTAAACACGTTTTTCGATGGTGAATGTTTTACAGTCGTTAACCAATTTTTGTACAAGCACAAGTAGTTTGACGATCATGGTTCCAAACGGGATTTGAAGATTGTTTTTTGTCCTAGAAACATTTGTTTGTTTATCTATATAGGTTTAAGAGATTTGTGGAGACTGCAATCAATGTGCATGTTTTATTGCATTGCTTCTTCACGTACCAATGTAAACGACGGTACATTTTCAAAGAGGACCAATCCAGGAAAAAGCTACTGCAGATTACTCCTTAATTAGTTTTCACTCAAAACTAAGAATGCTTGAGTATGAGAGAGAAAAAACATAAAAAAAACAACACACCAAAACAAAAACAAAACAAAAAACAAGAAACAACCAAACCGAAATAAAATAAAAAAATAATAAAAGATAAAGTCTGCTTCAATTAAGGGTTATAAGTCTAAATACCTGATATTCAGTCACAGCTGAAAGAGTGACTTGTCCTTCCTTCCAATTACTTGAACTGTTATTAGCGTCCATCCATATTGGTCTCCATGGAAACATCTTGTTATTTAAGATTTGGTATAGTTTCAATACTTTCGCTCCAGTTCCCCACAGCCGATATTGAAATCTTAGACACCTTGCAGGTGATTTGATCCATCTTGGTAATAACGGGTACGGTGGGCTTACATAAATCGCTTTTGACGAGGACGGTGTAGTTACGCTCGACACAACGCTAAGAACGTTTCCTGAAATATCAAACAATAGAAGTCAAAATCGCACAAAACATTACCTAAAATATCGGATGAAAAACGTCAGCTTTAGAATTGATAAACATTCAAGAGTAAAGAAATAAAAACATGTATTTGACAAAGGGGTTATGTTATAGAGCCACACTGTGATCATCAGTAAAGGTCCGCATGAAATTAATATAAAAGTTAGGTAAAACCTACGTAAAAACGGAGGGATACTGATACTATTTAATCACACAGGAATGATAAATAATTATAAATGCATTTTGGCAGTTTGATATTTTATGATCATACAGTGATCATAAAAAAAATTATTAATGCAATTTGACAGTTTTGGTGGTTTTTCAATCATACAGGAAACAAAAATAACAAGAACATAACATACCGTATTTACCCATGTATAAGCCGCTCTCGTAGATAAGCCGCACCCCGAGTTTTAGGAACGTTTTTGAGGAAAAAAAAGACGGAAAATAAACTTTTCTCTTTTTGATCGCCACTTGCGAACACAGCTTTCTTTCAATTTAAAGTGCTTTTCTGCTGCTCGATTTCCGTGATTCATGCATTTCGTATGCAATTACAATCTGTTTATTTAACGTGCGGTGTATGATGATCTTGGAGACATGAATTTGATACTATATTTAAAGGGATGTCTTTTAATCAAAAGGTAAAAGCAAACTAGTAATTAACTTGAGTGATATAAATCTCATCGTGCCGCCAAACTTCTGAACATAAGGATATGCCGAAACCGTTTCGTATTTCAAAAAAATATTAAAGCAGATTGTATTTGTTTAATATAAGGAAAAAAATTTCTTAGGCTTATTTCTCGTGTATTCAAAGTATTTACCCTGGATTCTTCACTTTAAGTGTAAACAAAGTCGCTTAAATGAACAATGCAAATTAGCATCGCGTTACCAAAACAACTCCAAGACAAAACGATTGAAAATGCTCTCTGTTCGCTTTAGCTCAATAACCACGCACTTTTCAGTTTGATTTATTGACTTGTGTTTCTCAGAGCTAGACTTTCGGAGAATTTATAGTAATACTGAGAAGTTTGGATTAATATTTCTGTTCCCGCCGTGTAAAACAAACTTATCACATTACTGTTGTCTTGTCTGCAGTTATAAGTAGCACCGTGAATGCTAATTTATGCAAATTAGTTCTTATCGTGCATTTTTACAAGTCTTCTCGTAGATAAGCCGCACCCCCGATTTGGGAACGATTTTTTTGGAAAAAAAGTGCGGCTTATACATGGGTAAATACGTTAATACATGGGTAATAATTTAATCACACAGGAATGACACTAATGAATACATTTTTTTGGTTGATATTTTGCAATCATACAGTGATCATAAATGATAAAAAATAATTACATTTTGACAGTTTTGTAAACAAAGGAATCATAATGATCATAATGATATTAAAATGAAAGTTTTTAAATCAAATTCTCAAATTCTTTTCTTACCGGTATCCAAACATAATATTTCCTGTATTTCTTGACAGTTTATTGAAGAGTGAAAGTCAGAGTAAAAAATAAATAAATATCAAGTCTTTTTACGAGCTTAGGCACGAAAACTTTTGGGCCACTAATTGGCTGAGGGCACATTGATTCAAATTGATTTAAAACCTAGCAAAGATCTATGATGCGACATTAGAACTGACACCTTTGCTAGTGTTGGGTTGCGATAAAGCGCTGATGAACTTGATCAGTTCTTATATCTGATATAGAACTGATTAATAATACATCAGTTCTATATATCTGATATAGAACTGATTAATAAAACATTAGTAGTTTATCGGATATAAAGGCTCATTATGTGACCAATAGTTCGATGCTCATTACTAATAGCTCATGAATTATTAATGAGTTCTAGAAATTTGTTATACAATAGCCCTATATATTTGTTACACAATAGCCCTATATATTTGCACAATGACCATAAATACTCTTAACAGAACAGCCGCATATATTTGCAAAATAGCCGTATAATTTCAACAACACCCATATATATTTGCAAATGCCATATATATATATATATGCATTACAGTTTATGATATCTTTCAATCTTTGTCTTAAATATTTATTCTTATACAATATTGTCCTGTATGGCGTCTCATAGGGCTACAATTATCAACCAAGATAGATCAATAGAATGAGTCACAAATGTGGACAAATTCTGCTTAATATTTACCATTATTTACCTTTTTTTCCTTCGCAAGATGTTTGGTTATAGTGAATGACTGAAGTGTTGTAACTGGTAACCATGGAAATATTCTGAACGAACTCCTCCCAGATAGTCATATTTCCTCTGTGATTTCTACAACTGTAAGACATATATAGAATAGCATCCTCTTCTAGAAACGCGTCCCACGTATTAAGACTGGTTAGCTTAATATTAACGAGCTCAGATGAAGTTATGGAAAGCTTTATGTCTGAACCTACAATTCGAGAAAGAATGATAGAGAACATCGTCAGTGATTAATCAAATTTATAGCTTTAGATTTGTTAATCATACATCATCTATAATATTTTTATATTTTAAAATTCATTGAACAACTGACAACTGCTGCTTGAGTCAGCGTCAACACCAAGCAAAGTTCATATTTTCAGGGGGAAATATGTTTGCAGTCCTATTTAAGTAAATACCATAATTCCTTGAGTTTAATCTCTCCATTATGAAAAATATGATTATAACTTTTCCCGTAGAGGACGATGAACTAGCTCAGCGTACGTTACTAAAACGACCTTTTACTTAAGGTGATGTCAAGGTCTGAAGATATCTAAAAGAATTCTCCTTTATTAAAGATTTGACTTTGTGCCAAAAGTTTGTCGCATAACTGGCTCTTATTAATGACACTGATTTTTTATATCTTACCGTTAAGTTTCCAAAGTTCATTTCCAGTATACACCGTCTTGTTYKSTACTCCATCGACATAAATCACATATACCCCATAGGGAAACGATACACATATGTGTCTCCAAACAGACCTGTCGCGATTAAAAATAAACTTCCTAAATTAGTCCATTTATATAGCTCAATTTACTAAATTTTAGTGTAGCTGATTAGTTGATATATTGTTTCGGCTTCAATGCCGTTTCTTTATGATTTATCGATCTCAGGAGGACATTGGTGTTGTTTTTTGAATGGCTAGCTATGTGTAAAAACTACTATTACTTGTCTCGACTTGTGTTTACTTTCTAAAATAAGATTATGGACGTATGATATCTAATGTTCATAAAATACCTACCGGTAAATGAAAACATCCAGGAACATCTCCATATTGGTTTTAATGGTAATGTTCACCAATTTTGGCGTGGTTGCATTCGAAGATATCCAGAAACACATTGTAAATGACTCGATGTTCGGTTTGGTTGGGACAATAAAATGTGCTGTACCATTTAAAAACACTTGTATACCAGGCTGCAGACCTAGAAATTGGTTGGCTAGATTGAAATAATGCACAAAATGTTTGATAAATACGATAAAAAGCAAATCCTTAAAGTATAGTCAAGTATACCGTCCCCTAACCTTATCTTTACAGGAGGAGCCGACGGGTTCCTGGGAGAAATATATCTGTTCTTTTGTCCCAGCCAGCTGTAAGTATCACAACTGGTTGCCAGCGACAAATTAAGGAAAAAAGAACTCTCCAGACAAGGAATACCTTCTAAGAATTTTTGCCAGGAAAATAAAAATTTCCTAGCTAAAAAAAATGTGAGCTTTCTTGACCATAAAAACGTTAAGCCTTTTTGACCTTAAAAACGTTTGCCACGAACAAAATTACTTTAAAGAAGGAAGGTCGCCACATTTTCTCGTGAGATTGCTCAAAATCTCTTTCCCAGGAAAAATTCGTACAATAACAGTTATTTAGAAGAACAGACCCCGCCGGCTCCTCTTTATGGAGTTATGATTCGTCAGAGAGTTTGTATTCACGAATTTAGTGAGTACCAAACATCAAACCTATCACATGATTACTGCTGCTTTGTGCATTAATGTGTGTGTATAAGTTAGATCGTTTTATCAAACACACGTGCATTACAATTCCTTTCGAAATTTTCTTTTTTTTTTTGGTTTGACATTAGCCTTTGTCCAAAATTAGTCTCAGTAAACGTAAACCTAAAAATGCTCTACTATTCGAGAAAACCCAGCAGCAATGGTTACAAGATTGGGCTCAGCCGATTTCTCTAAAAAATTTTCAACCAAATAGGCGCCTGCTGTAAATAAAAATGACAAACAACTGACGAGTTTGTTTCTGAGATAACCCTCGCCACCTACCCATCCTCTCAACACATTTTAAACAAATCTAAGATGTTATATGTTAGCTAGATTAAGTATTAGCTTGTGTTACTGGGACAGGGATTACAATTATCTTCTGCCTCAGGAACCATATTTTTGTAATGTTTTATGTCACTCTTCTACTTTTCGGCATACCCTACACATACCTTGATCAGCCAGAATGGACCTTGAGTGTGAGTGAAATTCCCTGTCACCAAGGATTTTCCACTGAAGTTCTGGACGACTGTTAGTCCAGTCCTGCCATTCTGTACTGATTGTAAGTTTTCTGGCACCTAGTTCATAAAGCAAATGAAATCAGTCTAGTTAAAGAATCAATCAGCCAAAAGATTGCGGCATAAAGCAATCTTGAAAAAAACCAATTGATGAAGCTGTTACACATCGATGAATACTCCAATTTCGAGTTTTGGTTTACTCTGTGATAGCCCGAGAAATAATAATAATAACAATCTTTTATTAGGAAAAACTATCACTAAGTGTGGTTTTCATAGAATTCCTAAAAAAGTTAAACTAATATTTACATGGAATTAAGATAAAAATATAAATAATTATATCTATATAAAACTATAGCTAACATTAAAAAGAAATAAATAATATAATAAAAAAATAAATAAATAAATAGCATATAATATAAAAACTAAGAGAAGGTGGTAAAAAGATGAGAGCGTAACTTTGATTTAAAAATGCTTAAAGATGGCGAATCTCTGATAGATAAATCTAAATTATTCCAATCATTAATGACTTGGAAGCATGTCCGTTGTTTACCCCAGTTTCTCTTTACTTTCGGTAATCTTAAATTATTTTTAGTACGTGTATAAATGGCATGGAATTCGAAAAGAAAGGCAATAGAATTGATTTGAAATCTCACACTTTTATTCTCACAATTAGGTCTATTTTGCGCACAAATGAGGCTAACACAGAGCATTGGAGAATTCGAAACTGTTTTGAACGTTTCGATAACCAAGTATGGTATTACGATAAATGACCGTTGCACAAGAGTAGAAAATTTGATCTTCAAAAATTCAAACCTGTCACGAAAGCTCTATTTTGGTGGGAAAACCCGCTGACTCGTCACTGGAAAAAATCGCGCGCTTTAAAGGTTGTAAATTTGATGTAAATATTATGTAAGTGTCCAAAATGATGTAAATTTGATGTAAATATTATGTAAGTGTCCAAAATGGTGTAAATTTGATGTAAATTTACATCAAATTTAAGCATCAAATTTACATCAAATTTACATCATTTTGGACACTTACATAATATTTACATCAAATTTACAACCTTTTAAAGTGAACGATTTTTTCCAGTGCGTCCCGGGCTCAAATGTCCGGAATTTCTGGCCATGTCGACCTGGTTCAGTTTTGTTAGAATGATACCACTCCTCCATTATGATAACGAGTATAAAATAAGAATTGCAAGTTTCTCATTTGATTTTAAGCCGGAAAAGGAAATGCTCATTTCACAGATATATAACGTAAATCGTAATCACGCTACGTCATTAAATTAGAAGTATTTCCTCTCCAATCACAAATCAATTCAATAGAAGTAATACATTAAAAAAAAATTGATAAATGACGTATACACGTCAACTACATACTTACTGTATTCTGTACAAATTGTTGGACGAAAGCCAAACCTGGAAAATTGGTACACAAAGTAACCACCACAATTGCGTATAGTGACTTTGTATTCCCGCAAACAGCAATCACTACCAACATGAGCTTGTCTACACATCTCCCTTACAACTTTACCCTGAGCTACATTCGGCATGGTTCCCTTTATCCATAGTAGTCGAAGACCATTACAGGCAAATCTTGGATGTCGGACGCATTCCGTAGAAACCTGATTACCCGCCAGGCCAGTTATGCGATACCATAATGAGCCTGAAAGCGTTTCGCTGTCGTATATTTTGGAAGAGGACAATGATCCACTTTGGTCCCTTCTACGATCAATACCATCCAAAGTGCTATAATTAAGACATTCTTTATCCGATTTGACATCTATATGATAAGATAACTATTGTCAAATGAATATTCTAGACATTGAAAACAAATTAATTTTTCATTATTTTTGATATTTTCTACCATTCATTCTTACTCACCAGGAATACTTTGACATTGATATTTCGTGTATGTGACGTCATCCAATGAAAGCGAAGCATACTCGTCTCTTTTTCCTTCAATTACAACCTTAATCAATTTATAAATCAATTAGTGATCATAACAAAATAGATACAAAAATACAGAGTACAAACAATTATATTTGCAACACTTTGGATGTTAATTTATAACAGAAAACAATATAACTAGCAGAATGTAGCAGCATTTTCAGTTTTTGAACTATAGTTAACAACATAAATTAACGGCTATATTTCAATGGATATATTTCAGAAATGAACAAACAATCAGCCAAAAAAAAATTTTAACTTAAAAGCTATGTTAAACTGTTATAGTAAAGTATAATATGTGAAGTTTTGCATGTCATCAGCACCATCTGGGATCCCTCGTATCCAGAAAGATTGTCCACGAGATTACACTTTGTGCGACCTCTGGTGAATAAATAGGCCAAGACTGGAGGCACAAGGACGTTGGCATGTTGGGCAGGTGTAGGAAGATTAACTGGAGTGGCTTGTTTGCGGCATTTGCGAATTTGTCGCCTGTCCTCATTCCTCTGTCGCCTGGAAGACACAAAGGAGGGTAGGTAGCACTACCGCCTTTTAGATTTTCACTTTGGTATCAGTTTGTATGCCTCTCTCCTCAAAGACCCTCTCACGCATTCTTCCATAGGCATAGCTGGCAGCCCGAAGGTGATGTTGGATCATCATCAATATTAGCTTTGACCGAGAGGAAGCTGCCAAGATATGGGAAAAATTCCACATTCTTTAGGAATGACTCACTGATCTTAAACGAAGGCAGAACAGTGGCTTGGCCCGGCACAGGTGGGTAGAGGATGTAGACATGAGTAATTGTACTTTGTTTTTCTTTCTATTGTTTTGTAAGTAAGAGCATTACGGTAAATTCCAGCGTGTAAGTCATTTAGTATATAGTAGTTCGTTGCGTAATAACCACTGTCACAGTCGAAGTCGAAGTCACCACAAATCTTGTAAGTAAGTCGTTATATTTCTTCCGTTTTTCGTCTTGTAAATTTATATAGCTATAGTAACACCGATTGTAATTGTCTATTTGAAGTAAATGAGATGTTATGAACTCTATTTGAGTAAGTGGATGGACTGTGGCCACAGAGGATCTCAGTCTTCCTCACATTCATAAACAACCCAAGTCTTTGATAAGCTTGCCCGAACGCATCTAGAATGGCCTGGAGGTTTCTGCGGGAGGTGGCACAGACACAGTTGTCATCAGCGTATTAGAGTTCAATGAGAGAGGTTGCTCCTGTCATGGTTTTAGCTTTCAGCCTTTTCAAATTGAAGAGTTCCCCATCAAAATGGTAAGTGATATTAACTCCTTCAGGAAGTGTATCTTTCATCAATTGAAAGATTGCTGATATGAAAATCGAAAAGAGCATAGGGGCAATTACACATCCCTGTTTGACACCAGTACGTACTTCAAACGACTCACTGTTGGAGCAGCTGTCAACAACCCTGGCTACCATACCTTCATGTAGAAGTCAGAATTCAGTACTCGCCTCTGGACCTCAGCTCTGATGTTTTGGTAGGCCTTCCGTTTGTTGTTATTAAGAGGATCGCATTGCCAATCCGCAAAAGCCTTCCTTTTATCGGAGATGAACTTCATGATGATACAGTCAGCTCCCGCTTTACGGACACCCCGTCATTACGGACACGTTGATATTACAGTGAGGAAAGATGAATCCCCGACAAAAAATACAAAGAAATGAATGAAGGTGACTCCCGTTATTACGGACTCTCGGTACAGTGTGTTGCCCAGTATCGTGCCGGTAGCAGTATCGCGCCACAAAAAAATTAAAGTCAAATTTCGCGCTACGAAAACGAAGTTTCGGAATACGAAGAATTCCGAAAGTAATCCTAATGCAATCGCTACCCGAAATCAAGATTGGCAGGAATCTAGACATCTTTGTGTTCTAGAAGGCCTCCAATTTAGCGAGGTAAGTCGAAATCTTTCAGCTAAAATTCACAACTTATACTGTGAAGTGAATTGAAAACTACTTGAAAATTAGACCTCATGTATGTTTACATAAAAGTTCGCGAATATTTGGCATATATCGTATTTGCAAAAATATTCAGAGTTAAATTTTTGGTATTTTTTTAGTTCTTTTCCCAGTATCGTGCCATGAACAAAAACGTTTTTATTGTAAATTAAGTAATAAAATAAAATAAAATCGGCAATCAATCAAACAATCAGATCACTCTATTTGATCGCGTCCAGACCGCAATATAAATGGTCATATAATGTGTTATAATCACGTAACCTTTTATTGATACATTCTGGACTGGTTTCTATATTCACACTCGCCCCTTATATTAGAAATCACATTATAAATATAGCGCGATTTGGAGAAGTTGTGGAACCCAGAGCAAGCTTGGATGAATTTGGGATATTTTGAGCGATTTTAGGACATCAGAGCAGTCTTTATAGTGGTAACGAACGAAATAACCCAGTATAGCTACTAGTTTTTGCCTTTTGCGATCAACTTCACGCAAAAGTTAGGTTTTAACCGGATCTATTGTTCACTTATTACACGTGATTTCGAAGAAAAGTACACCGTGTCATAACTTTGCCTGCATTTTCCTCTTCTGTGGTTTTTGTGGTTACTCCCGTCCTCCCGCCCGATGTAAACAATCCAAGAATTTCCATAAGTCTGTAACACTGTGATGTCACAATAGCATGATGTCATGAGGCATTAAATATTCAACTTTGATGAGATGAAGACAAAATGGTGGACACACGGCGGCAAACGGTTGTCACGTTTTAGATGGCTCTAAAATATAGCTAAAACGTTTAAAAGAGCTGAAAATTATGCACAAAAGAACTGATTATTATCCAATGGACATGAAAGGAGGTATATAACTCAAGATTATTGGCTGATTTATGCAGACAGTTTGCATTTTCTACCACCAACACGAGCACAACGAGTGTTCGATGCCAAACAATCACAAAGTCTTCAGGCAAAAATAAGAAATCACATTGATATATAAGGTTCATGCATTTACAGAAGAGCAATTATTCAGTGGACTAAAACATATTAAATCTCATCTGAAAAATATGAATGTCTTTTTTAAACGATGCGTTCGAAGTTGAAATCGCCAATACTACGTAGATATAGTCATTTTGTTCAATTTTAATACAGAAAGTGTTTTTTTAACGATTTGCGAGAATGCTAAGAAAAATACTACATATTGAGATAAGACATGAACGTTGATATTAGAGTCCAACTATTTAGTTGTGATTACCGAGCAAACAATTTTTGGGATGTACAAACTAGTTCCTGTGTCACACGGAACATGTATGATATTAAGAGCGACTGTCCAGAAATATCGAGCATAGGCCGGCCACAGTGAAAAATTCAAATTCCTTGAAACTTAGTTTCTGGACACCTTTCTGTGAGCCTACTAACGTGGTCTAATCGGTTTTTTGATCTACGTTGA